TGGAGTGGAGCTACCGTTGATACGAAAGTACACGGACGGCGGGCTCTCGAGCACGCGACTCAGCGTCTTCCACTCGTCCTTGGGCAACTGAAAGAGGTCGCCGTAGTAGTCTTCAAAGAGCGTGTTTTTCGCGGCCAAAACTTGCGCCACACGACCTTCTCGGACCGGATCGCCTTTTGCTGCATCGTCTTGATCTTGCGCTGCTCGAGCGACTCGCCCGGCACCGCCTGCTTCTTGGACGGCGCAGGCTCGTTCGCAATGTACACGGGCTTGTCCGACTTGGTCTTCTTGTTGGCCTTGTTCTTCTTGGCCTTGGGCGCCGGCTTGGCCGCGGCCTCGCCCGTGAAGTCGCGCACGGGCGCGTTCTCAAGCGACGCCAGTGGCACCGCCTGCTTGAAGTTGACGTGCGAATCGTCGTCGCTCGAATCGCTGTAGTACGCCTTGCGCTTGATGGCGCCTTGCGGCGCGCCACCCTTCTTGCCCTTGGCCATTGTTGGTTAGCACAAACCTGAAATGATTGGCTCTCCCATCCGACGAGCTCGCCTCTGATTTGTCGGTTCGTTTTACGTGCGAACGAGTGGAATTATACGATAGTCGTGCAAAAATCCGTAAATAAACGTAAATACTCGTAGACTGTGGTAGACGGTAGCAATTGTGGATCCGCGCGACCATGAAACTAAATAGTGGTAGTAGAATTGAGTTGTCGCGCCGGAAGAGCATGAAAACAATTACATGACCATTAGTTGGAAACCATTCGTTGCTCTATTGTCTGCATGATATGCGCTGTCGTATCCTCCAACGGAGAATGGCTCCCGTTTCCTCGCAATCGGGCGGCGTTGACACCACCAGATTGGTAACCACAATACACCACACGACTGCGTCGATGTCCAACTTGGTCTCGCTTCACACGTTGCACATTTTAACTACCAGATCAGCGGGTACCAAGGCAGTACTCAACGACAGTGTAATGTTTTAAGGTGTGTCGCGTCAATTTGGGGCGCCAGGGCTGTTGCAAGCGACATCAAAGTTGCCCGCGCATCCAAGCCAAACTGGCTTGAATGCGCGTTGGCTTAGCCAATGCACCGTATCAATGCATTGTACCGCGTTGGGCTATTTGTTGGGGCATCCATCCTCTCTGTGATCTGAGATGGAGCAGATAGTAGGTAGTCGACGCGACTTTGCGATCATCGCCTCCGGATGTTGAGCTGTTGTAAATGCGTGCAAAGCGGCAAGATCGGTCTGAAACGTCGAGAGACGAGGAGCAAGTTACCTCACGTTGCCAAGACAGCGTCGGTGTTCATCCATATATAGGCGTGTCTGGTCTGTATTTGTCTTAGCTCGTGAGTTCGGCTGATGTTTGAGAGACGCAGCGCTACTATCGTACGCCAACGCCAATGTCTTTGTTGAAAAAGGAGCGCAGGCCTGCATGGGCCTTGGGCGTACCATGTATCCTAGGGGTTAGGTGTGCGTATAATCGCTTTACACGCCGCACTACTCGTCGCAGCCCCGCATACGCGTGCAACAGGCCTTCTGCGACGAGCCGCTAATCACGACACGTTTATCAAACAGCGACGTCCGAGAACGTCCGTGGTGTTTTTCATCACAAGGTGTCTCAACGATGAATACGTCCGGATACCAATTTTGTATCCGGTAGCGACGCCGGCCCAGAGTGCACGGTAAACTCCGCGCTTCGTGTCGCTTTGAAGCGCTTGACGAGCCTGTTTTTCTGCTTATACATGGGATTGCCGACCGCAACGCTGGTGGTGGACCAGCTGGAAAACGTATATCGGTCTCCTCCGCATCGATTCGAGGTGGCGCTTCAAAAGTTGGGAGCGCGCTGCTATCAACATCGCGGCACAGTCGTGAGAAACCCCGTACATGCTCTATAAATTGTTACTCCATCGTCTTCCGTTGCTCGCATGCGACGCAATGTGCCCTACTAGTACCACACAGACACCTTGCCCACGTGTCTGGTCATGTCGATAGTAGCGCCCCCGGTATACGAATATGACACCACGATTACAATACCCGAAGCCTTGTTGCGTGTTTTTGTTATTAATACTCAAAAATCGTGCAGATAAACCGACGTTGACCACCAGTACACGTGCCGCAATTTGCTTTCTAAAGTATAGACACTCCAGTCAGCAAGAATCAATCTAAATTTCGGCGTTCGAACGAGACGACACATTGTTTCGTCCATTTGGACGATAGTTCCCTTAGAAGCACTGCACGAAATCGATAGTATATTATTCGATGTTGTACCCATTAAAGTGACTGCGGCAAAGACCGTCCGTCTTTGCGATATGCTTGCAACCAGACCGCTGGCACTGGCGATGCTTGGCTTCGTAATAATAGTGTTTCATGCAGAGACCCCGCGACTTGGCGGCGAGAGTGCACTCGGCCATCGAGCAGAGCCGCTTGGAAGCCATGACTTTGGTGATGGGCGAAATATCCTGAGCGCCGTCGACTTGCTTCGCCGGAGGTCG